TATTTAAGATGGAAGATGCAAAATTGAGACCAGTGGAAGAATTTTGTATGGAGGAGAATCTATGAAGGACCCAATATGGGGACCTATAGATAGACAGAAAGCTCTAGAGTATACTTAAGATCTTTCTATTATTTGTGCAAAGTCTAAATTAATGATTTTTATTTTGTTGGATTTATGCATTTGATCATATTTTTGAGATATTCCACTACTGTCAATTTATCCACTACTGTCAATTTATCTGCTGCAACAGTGGTTGCAGCATCTCCTGAAGATAACAGACACTGATTCCCCTTGTGAGATAAAAGCCTTCATCTATGGTATACCTCATGTATTTCTGCAAAATGCTGGTGTATGATACCTTTACTATAAAAAATAGAAAAAAAGTCATTTTATATCATTGGAATATATGCTTATGAAGCCACAAAAAATTTAGAGGTCTTAAGGCCAACGCCTTTTTGGAAGTTATTTGCTGTTCATTTTCAAAACTGACAAGGACAGAGAAATGTGACAAATATGGAATGAAAATGCATGGAAGATAAGTAAATTTTACGCACAAAAGAAGTATTTAAGAGAGTACAGTGAGAAACAGATAAAAACAAAGTGAGACCAAATATATATGCATGCATGGAAACACTGATTGAGAAATCTAACTGCAGTGATTTCCATCCTCTCATCACAACTGAGCTTGTACTAAATGAATAAACTGCTACTTGACATTTTCTAAATAAATATCATGGGAAGAGTACTTATTTTACTTTAATGAATCATTTCAGCCTCTCCAACAGAAAGTAGTTGTGATGAACTATAATCTGTTCTGGGAAATATAGTTCTATAATGGAGATATATATGGACTGAAATATGGGAAGTTGTGTTCTCCAACAAGTCTACTTTAAAAGAGATTCTGATTCATCCATGCCCACTTCTACTTATATTTGATCATAGCTGTTGACATACTGTATCTGCCATGCTGAGAGCTATTTCTCTACTAGAGGTAAGAAAGCCATATGGTTCGTGGATGACTATGAATTTTTGCAAGGCAAACTGAACTAATATGTGTATTTTTTTTTCCTGTAGCTATTCAAACAAAACTATCCATTTAGCAAACAGGACATTTTCAATTCAATGGGATATTTTGGCCCATGTAATGCATTTCTAAGAACTGAGAGTCTTCCTTAAATGCAGTCACAATTGATGGGCTAACACTGACTTTCTGCATTAGTGGTCCTTTCATTCACCATGCATGGTTAGGTATAAACAAATTCACTGTACTGATTAAGTGAAGCAGCAAATAAGACTTGTCTTGTTCATGGAGTAGAACCAAAACAGCTGTTTTTGTTTGACTGATACAGATTCAAAGGGCCCCCAATGGTACACCTCATAAAAAATCAGCAGGTTATTTGAGGGGTTATGTTCTTTTTATTACTAAAACTTCTCAAAGGATTATCATAGTTATGCAAGGAAATTGCTTTGACAATGCATAATTACAAACAGGAAAAAAGAGTTCTTGCCAAAGGCAGGTGTAAAATAACATTTTACCATCCTTATTAAGGCTCAAAAAATATGTCAGTAATTACTCCAAAGTCCACAATTTAGCCAGGCAAAGCTCACAATCAAGCTGAAATTCAGTCATCCAGACTGCATCTACAAATATTTCCTATTAGAACATCTGCTGTCACAAAACCCTGCCATAACTGTGACACGATAAGTGGAACAGGACAGGCAATGTCCATGGGAGCTTGCAGAGGGCACCCTCTGGGCAGAACACTGCTTGTTGTTCAGACACAGTGGATACTGGACATGCAAGCCTTCCTCGGGGTCAGGTATGAATCCCTCTGTTCAGGGATATGTTCCTTATGTACCAATTATTCTTGAATTAAGAATATAGAATATAACTTTTAGTTTGCCACAATGGACTTTGAAATTTTTGTCTTGCTTTGGTAACTTTTTGTTTCAACAGCTTGGCATTGCCAACAGTACCACTATTAGTATTTGTGGGATCCTGCCATACACAAATGTGAAATCCCAATCCCATTAAGTCATTGTGGTTATTACCATTGATTCAGCAAGTCTTGGATTTGACTGTGATTTTATGTGTTACATAGACAAAACACATTCTCCTCAACACCTCTGTCAAGAGCAATCTATGTTTGCTGATTGTTAAATGCCTGCTTAAAACAGTTATGACTTCATTCTAAGTGTAATTTCAATTTGCACCAGGAATTTAAACTCATTTCAGAGGGACTGGAAATTCTAAAAGTTATTAGAGGTATGTCCTATACCATTCTAGTGCAAAACAGATATATGACTAACTAAATCCGATAGTGCTTTATAGTACTAAAATGAAAAGCTAAAAGAAAATCAACAAATTTATTTGACAATCCTAGGATTTAGTTCATGTGTTACTGAACAATGGCATAATAAACGCATTCTTTAACTTGGGAATACTATGTCAGATCACACAGGGTCTGCCTCGAGCTCTCAGAATTAAATCTCCAATGTATAACATTGGAATTCATAAAACTATTAAACGTTGTCTGAGTCCATTTTGACCACATAACACACATTTTGAAAAGCATGCAAAATGATGGGGGGAAAGAACCTTTGAAACATAAATGATATGATCAGCTTAGCACTGTAAAAATAGTTTCACAAAATAAAATTAAAACTTGCAGTTCTGAAATAAAGGGTTTTATGCAAACTATCTGGAAATAACTTGAAAGTATTGCTATATTGATGAAAGCACAGAAATATAAAACTTCAACTCTTCCTATTTTAGGTTTTCCAGATAAAATATGAAGGCAGAAATGCAACAAATCAGAGATGTGAACGGCTGACATCTCAAACATACGTGCATTATAAAATATTACCACCAATCCTCTGGTCTACCCCCAAGCTGCTGTTTAAAACATCCAGTACCATCAGTATGCCCCCTTGACACATCCCACAGTAGAAAACATTCAGTTACTGAGACTCCACATGAGACTTCATCATCTGCACTCGGATCTGCACTCGGTCACACTGAGGTGACCACTGCTCCTCGCAGGATGCCCGCTGGCAGTCATCTACTACCTACATGGCTGGGGACATCCTGTGTTTCAAATTTTGTTAGTGCTCCGCTTGTGTTGCTACTGAGAAGCAGAGAGAAATAGTTACAAAACACTCCAGCGCTAAGAAGGGCACTTGCTTTCACAGCCGCGATGCTGGGCTCACACCACCTAACGTGCCGGGAGCGCTTGGTCCCATTCTCAGGGCTTCAATCTGGAAGAGATTCAAGCATCGCCTGCTCCCAAGACACATTATGCCCGTGTAAGAATGTGCCGTAACGAAGAATGTCGCCGTAAATTAGTCCCTTTAAGTTTGAGGGAAGTTGAGGCCGGAGCCCTTATAAATGGATTTATGGCTAAACGCCAAGCTGTACGGCACCGGCACGGCTGTTAGAACTGGGACACCAGCAGCGGCAGGAATTAGGTTACGAAGGCGACAGAAAGCGGGGCGGTAAAAGAAAGTCCCTTTTCTGCAGCTCCCGCCGGCTGAAGGGTCTCCCCACTCCCGTGCCCCGGGCCGATCCGTAGCGGCCCCGCAGCCGCAGGTCGGTTCGGTTCGGTTCGGGCCGGGGAGACCGCCCGCCCCGACGGTGGCGGACGCCGGGCGGTTTGCCGGCTCCGCTCCGGGAGGCGAAGTGGGCCGGGGCGCGCTGCGCTCTCATTATGACACCGGGTAATTATTTTATTTTTCCGGCAGACGGTGTTTCTAAGGACCGCGGAGGCGCTCAGCCAACCCGCCCGCGAACGCCGCTCCCTGCGCGGCGACAGCCGCCCGTGATCGCCCCTCGGTGACCGAGGGCAGCGCAGCAGATGCGCCGGGCAGCCACCCCCGCGCTCCGGGGCGCGCCCGCGGACTCTCCGGCCGCGCCGAGCCCTGCGCCCCCGGGCGCGGCAGCCGCGCAGAGCCGGCGCGGGGAACGTGCGGGACTCACCTGCCGCCCGCCCCGCTCGGCTGCCGCCCCGCCGCCCCTGGGGACCGGGACGGAGGGACGGAGCAGCGCGGCCCCTCCGACGTACCCGCACCCTCCCCGGGGCGGCACGGCACGGCACGGCACGGCGGCCGGGCAGGGAAAGGGGAGCGGAGCAGGCGGCGGTGCGCCGCCAGCCCCGGCTGCCCGGCCCCTCCTCGCGGGGCAGCCCCAGCATCACGCGCTGCCAAAATTTAAATCGCCCCAGCACTGCGGCTCCGCGCGCAGCATCCCCTCCCCGCCGCTCCCTCCGGCCAGACCGGCCACACGGGAGGGTGCCAGACCGCACTCGCCCCGCTCAGGCATCGGGCATTCGGGGCGCAGCCGTCCTGCCCGGGCTGTACCGAGGCGAGACCCCCGCCACGGCGACACCTCGCCGGGGCCAGCGCGACGCCGGGACGCGCCGGGGATGGGGATGACACCACAACCGACGGCGCGGCTGGCGCGCCCTCGCCCCGCTGCCCGGGCGCCCGTCCCCGACGGTGCGGTCCCTGCGCGGACCCGCGGCACCGGCACCCGCCCGTTCCCTCCGCTGCTTGTGCGGAGGCGCCCCGCGAGCAGCCCGGCGCGCCTGCCGCCCCGACGGCGGCCCCTTGCCTCGCCTCCCTCCCTACCTCCCTCCGTACCTTTTTCAGCGCTGACATTCTAGTGCATTATTAACGCGGCGGGTGCGGGCTGCGGCGGGTCGCGATTAAGGAGACGCCGGGAGCGGGAGCAGCGGCGCGCGCCCAGCGTCCCCCGGCGCCGCTCACCCGCCGGGGCCGCCGCGCGCCGCTCGCCCGCCCGCCCGCCGCGCGCCGCTCCCCCCGCCCCTCGCGCCCCGCGCGCGCCCTCGCCCTCGCTCCCGCGCGCGCGGCAGGGGCGCCCCCGCCGGCTCTGCGCAGCCGCGCGCCCCCTGCCGGAGCCCGCGGGCATCGCGCCCGCTGAGGCGGGGCGGGACGGGGCGGGCCAAGGCGCGGCGCGGGGCGCCCTGGCAGAGCCCCGCCAATGGCGGCGCCCGGCGCCGGGACCGACAGACGCGGCGGCCAACGGGAAGGGGAGCGCCGCGGGACCGCGGGGGTGTCTCGGACGGGCCGTGGGGCCATGGCCGGGAGCAGGAGGAGCGGTGAGTCTGTGCTGTGAGCGGTGGTCGGTTCCGCCATGCTGCCACCGGGGCTGGTGACGGAGGGAGCCGGGGGGCGGCGGTGACGGCCCCGGGCGCGGCTGCCCTCAGCCGCCCTCAGCCGCGGCGTGTTCCGGCCCGGGCGCACTGCGCTGCCGCCGCGGGACCCGCTGGTTCCACTGCTCGGCGCCCTTCCCGCGGGGCCAGGCCGTGAGAAGCCGAGCCTGCCCGGCAGCGGGGAAGGCGGGCGGACTGAAGTGGCCTCGGCGGAGCCTCCGGCCGCACAGGCGGGGCGCTGGGCGTGCGGGGACTCCCGCGCTGAGCCCTCCCGGCCTCCTGTCCAGCCGCTCCGGCTCGGAGGGGCCCGGGCGGGTTCTACTGCCGCGTATTCCTGCCCAGGGGTGGGGAGAGAGTAAATAAAATTTGCTTCTCTAATCACAGAGTGTTTTAAGATGACACCTTTTTTTCCTCAATACGTACATGCATACGTACTTACTTGTTAGTGACCCTCTATTTCGGCTTAAAGTTACTTAGCTCACTTCTGAAATAACTGTGGTACTGTGCTTGCAAAGAATAAGATAAAACCTTCTGCTAGCCATGCACAACTTCAGTCTGTTCTGTTTATCTGAATGTTTTATAAGACACGGCACAGGAAGAACACAATAATCGAAATACAGGGGTTCCATAAGTAATATCTTGTTCTTAAGGTGTGTCGAGTAGAGCTGAGCTGTGCGAGAGCTGAATGCTTGCATCCTGTGCTTGGCTTTTGCGTTTTCACACAGTTCCAGCAGCCTGAAACTGGAATACTTCATGGGAGGATAACAATTTGAGAGTGAAACCGATCACTGGAGTTAATGTGGAAGCTGTTTGTTGACGGACTGCATGTGGCGATCGTTTGAAGTAGGTTTAAATACGCAGTAGTGTTCTCTGTGGTTTAGATGCAGATTGGTTGTGAGGAAGGGAGAAGGAGTCACTGTTCTCCTCTACGCTTTGGGTATGTGAATTACAAAGTGATGTTTTCTGGAACAAAGTGAATTATGAAGAGTGAGTTCATGCACTTGTCAATGAATGCATGGCTCTAGAGCTGAGAGTGGGAGAACTGAATTCTAAAGCTCTCAAATTGTTTAAAACTGAAGGTCAGATAAAGAGCTGCTTGTTTTGGTAGCATGTCAGAGAAAGCTAAAATGATCATGCTGAGTGTCTGGCTTTACTATGTAAAGTTGGAAATCATTCATGTTTTTTTCAGCTGCTCTAAGGAGCCTTGACTTTAGATTGGGAGGAAAATACAGTGAGAAATACAAGGATGCCACATGCTCCTGTGGGAAGGAAATAAAAAAAACTGGAAGAGTTTAAAACCTCATCTGATCAGCCTCTGCAGCCCATAGCATATATGAAAACTGTTGACTTTCTGTTGTCAAACTATGTGTTTTTTTGAGAGGACAAGTGTCCTATAGAAGAGCTGAGAAAGAAGGTTTAGCTGCTTCCCTTTAAGGTTAATTTTGCTGGCTTTTTGTAAGAGCATGTTGAAATGCTGAAGACAAACTTTTGTCTACATTACAATAGAACAACAAAGCTTTTTATTTTGTTGGGAACTGGGCCATAATACAGAATAAATGGGATGGTCAACAGCTTGTGGGTCATGGGTCTAATTGTCAGTGAACAGAATCTAAACAGTGAAAAGCCAGTAGAGCAGGTAGGTGAAATGCACTTCACTCTGCCAGGAAAGGGTGAGACAGGACTGGTTGAAAAACTGCATTTTTTACTTTTAGTTTTTGTGGAGCTTTTTGTTTTTTACTTGCTCGTGTACCAGTGATTTGTGACAGGGCTAGAGGTACTACTGCTGTCATTCTGTGTGTTATCAACAAGGTATTGATCCTGTCTGGGACAGCTGAACTCCTAACTTGTTGCTGTTAAACATTGACAATTGCATCCTGAAAGCTTTAGTCATCATTCTTGGAAGTTTGTGCCACCCCAAAATAACACTTACATGAAGGGCTGGATAGAGAGTGATGTTCCAGCTGCTGAAGGGTAGAATTAAGGAATTGATGCAGGTGTAGTATACATTATTGATATAATTGCTAGTAAAAAGTGATGGAAAATTTGTGCTGTACAAGGGATGATCTAGGGGACAGCAGGAGGCTTCCTGTTGGAGAGATTAAACTGGAAAGCCAATGTGGACACTTGACAGGCATCAGTGGCAAATGTTTTTAAGTAGAGAATATTGCTTCAAGGAGTGCTGTTTTCATCTCTCGGGTGACTTTGGGCAGAGTTATAATGGTCCTTGAAATGAGACTGCAATTCCTTAGTTTGGGGATTTTTTTTGTTTTGCTGGGATTTTTTTTTTAAATGGCTATATCACATATTAAACATCTTCATTTTGCAGAAAAGCACACCATTTTTTCCCTTTTTCTAGTTTCAGAGAAGCGCTGATTTTTAGAGATCTTGAGGTTATTCAAATCCTTTTCTTATTTTTGGTTTTAAACTCAACATAATTTTTGGCAAATACTTTGAAGTTTTACTGGGAAAAAAATAAATGCCCTTTTTTATAGTGGGTATGTTTTCTTTCATCATATATTTTCCATATATATCATATAAGGGCAATATTAATGGCAAATGGAGTTTGATGCCTGACATTATTTTTTTTCCTTCTTTGAGAAGTATCTTGCTCCCCCCCAAATGTGACCAAAGATTTATTACAGCATATCAAGATGTAAATTCTATTTGGATTGTAGTTGGCTAAATTACAAATAGCTGGGTTTTTTTGTGATTAAATGTAGAAGCTACACTAGACTAAGTGTACTTGACTCTGCCATTGAAACCTTTTATGAAAGGGAGGAAGAAAAGTTTTTGTTGCTGACCTTGGTGTTGTGCCTGGATGAGAAATGCAGTCAAGGAGAAAGGCCAAAAAGGTGAAAGAAGCAGAAATGATACACCCAATGGCCTTCTATTTAGAAAGTCTGCAAGGGGAGCACGTGCTCACAGGGAGCAGAGCCTGATGTGATGTGGCCTTTAGGGTTCTGTGTTTTGTGTGGCTGGCTGTTTGGGTTTTTTTGGGGGATGGATTGTGTTGGTGTAGGGTTGGATTGTTCTTAGGAAGTTCAAGCAATTCTTACGTACTTTGCATTGAGATGGGATGGTCCACAGGGGTAGGTGGGACTGTTTAAACATGCTAGGGAGTAATAATGTTCAGGAGCAGGTGTATGAACCTGTGTTAGTTAGTAAAGGTGGTGGAGGTGGTGGTGTGTGCCATTACGGTGTGTCTGTTTTAGTTACTTTGCCTCTTTAAACATTCAGTGTGTGATGCCTTTCACTCAGCACTGGCTTTGCCCTTGTTGTACCAGATTTCTGGAATCACCTGGGAGCAAAGCTGCTCACATACTCACCTGCCACTGGGATGAGAGAAAGAATCAGAAGACTGAGCAAACTCACTTGGTTGAGACAAAGACAGTTTAACAGGTGTTGCAGTGTGTTGCAATTTCCATTTTTAAACTTCCCAGTCCCTTCCCAGGTGTGGCAATACCTCTCTTCCCCTTCCCCCTCGCCCCCTGCTGGGCTGTCAGTCAGTTTTAACATTCCAGCAAGGCCTCGTGTGGTTGGTCACGTTCAAAGGATGCAATCCAGGCCTGGGGTCATTGGCCTGCCTGGGTGTCCCTTGTCCCCTGAGACCCTCCTCCTCCCACCTGGTTGGTGCTCACCTGTCCCTGGGCTTAAATTGACCAAGGACCATGTGCTTGGCATTCTGTTGGAGCTGTTACCTGAGGTTCAGACCTCTGTGACCATGGAATAAACTCTGGATATAACCCTCCGGCAGAATCCGCCCTCTTTTCCTCTCCACCATCACCTGAAACCTTCCCACCTGAGGTAAACTGAGTTTCTACAAGCTTGGACTTGTTTCAGCTCCCAGCTGCAACATCCAGCAAGCTAAAGGTGTCTCTGGGGTGAAACACCACAGCTGCCGCCTTTGGCCTGGCAGGAGGGGTCAGACGGGCCCAGGCACAATCTACCTGGTAATATTGGGATTCATATTCCAATAAATAGGCAAACCAAAATCCACACAAGCAAAACAAAAGAAGGAATTCATTCACCACTTCCTGTGGGCTGGCAGGTGTTTAGCCTTCCCCAGAAAAGCAGCACTCCTTTACCTGTAATGGTGATTTGGGAGGACAGACATCATCACTCTGAGCATTCCCTCTTCCTTCTTTCCCCCAGCTTTATATCTGAGCATGTCAGCATAAGGTTTGGCATATCCCTCGATTCAGCTGCTCCAGGTGTGTTTCCTCTCAGTTACTGGTGTACTTCCAGCCTTCTTCACTCGTGGGGCAGGTAACAGAAAGGGCCTTAAGACTGCTCAGCAATAACGAAATCATCCTTGTATTGTCAGCCCTATTTTCTGCACAAATCCAAAACACAGCCCCCTACCAGCTACTGTGGAGAAAATTAACTGCATCCCAGCCAAAGCCAGCACAGATTGTTATGGCAATATGTAGTTTCTTATGCTTTCAGTTGTTTTTAGTTCAAAAGGTTGAAAACTGTTCTCAAGAAGTTTGGATTTTTGTGGGTTGGCTAATGACTTAAAGTAAAACTCCATATATGTCTAGAAAGAAAAGAAAAATTCAGCTGCATTGGAACTTCCAGAACTTTTTTGTGATGGGATGTTTGGTGCAATATTGATTTCTGTTATATGTATATTAGATATGCTTGCAGCAGTTGCTTGATTTTTTTTTTATAATCAAATGTTGAAATCACTGCAAAGGGCTATATATTTACTCTTTGAAGAAAGTCGTGTAGAAATTCAATTGATTTATGTTTGTTTTATATAATATGACCTTATGAAGATTTCTTTTGAATAGTACTTAATACACAAATTTGTTGGACTTTTCTTTGTGCTCAGTGATACTACACCTGCCAATTTCATGGTTTGATTTTTAAATACTGGTATATTGACCTTCATTTTAACTTGCTTCTTATGTGAAACTGCCTGTTTAAAATTTGCAAATTTTTTT